TCTCAGAGGCAGTACTTAACTTTCAGTTCCATAGACTCCTGAGGGGCTTATGGGAAAATCAAAGATTTGAAAAGACTACTTCGTAGTACTCTCTTCTCACCTCTTTGAAAAATAAGGTGCTGTGTTCCCAACCCAGTTTTCTGGGGATAAATCAGTGGCCTGATTATAAGTGATTGGGGCTCTGGAGCAATAGCATGAGACTCTCTTGGGGCATCAGTGAATAGTGCAAATTCCTGGGCTTTCTGGGGGTGAGGTCTGGGAATTTTGCAGCTTTGTAATCTCTCTTGATGATCTTGATGCATATTGAGGCTGGAGAACTCTGGGTAATTAGTTCCAGTTCTGGCACCTAAATATTGTGTGGTATGAAGCAAGTTATTTTATTTTTGTTATATATTTTATTGATTTTATACAGAGAGGAAGGGAGATAGTTAGAAACATTGATGAGAGTCATCGATCAGCTGCCTCTTGCACACCCCCTACTGGGGATATGCCTGCAACCAAGGTACATGCCCTTGACCGGAATCGAACCCGGGACCATTCAGTCCCTAAGCCGACACTCTATCCATTGAGCCAAACCGGTACCGGCTGAAGCAAGTTATTTTGTTTTTACTCTTAGCACAGGGCTGAGAGGCCAAACAATAACAATCCTTTCATCCTCCTAAGAGGTGAATATTCCCATTTTATTGACAAGGGAACTAAAGTTTGGGGTAGTAAACTGACTTACCTATGGCAACAACAGCTAATGGAAGTGACAGAGCCAGAATTTGAACCCAGGCTTAGATCAGAGGTGCTTTGGAAACCAGTAACATGGAGAGCAGTGACTATTTTCACATCCCCTGAGTTTCAGATCTTTTCCTCCATCTCCAGCATAGTGAGATTACAGCCACAGATGCGGGCCCTGTCATCTGGGAGCCTTCACATTATCAGCTTCCAAACGAGTGTATGCTTGAAATCCAGAGTTCTGACACTTAACCTAGATATTCCTATTCATGAGGCTGAGTTGGGTAAGTTTCCCAGTGAATTCCATAGAGCAGTTACCACTTTAAAGAACAGTGGGAAGAAGCCTTCCTTTACCATTAATCTAAAGGAACTCCCCCATTGTCTGTCCTTAACTACCCCCCTTTTATACTGTTATATACAGGGTCTACATTTACATTGATACATAAGGACTTGAAGCATCACACTGGCCCCTTTGTTGAGTAGGGGCATAAAGAGGGGGTCTGGTAATACATAGCCAACCCAACATTAGGACTCAAAAGTAGAAATGCATTTAAAAGCTATTTCTTCAATGAGACTGTTACAGGAAAGGTAGGTGTTCTTTTTTCTTTTAATATATTTTACTAATTTTTTTTTTTTAAGAGGAAGGGAGAGGGACAGAGAGAAACAGCTTCCCCCTGCACACCTCCCACTGGGGATGTGCCCGCAACCAGGGATGTATACATGCCCTTGACTGGAATTGAACCTGGGACCCTTGAGTCCACAGGCCGATGCTCTATCCACTGAGCCAAACCGGTTAGGGAAAGGTAAGTCGTCTTATATTAATATAACACTTCTAGCTTCAGGGGAGAAGGGCCCTAGCCACATTATCTCTGCCAACTTTCATTATCTTCGTGCCTACTCACCCAGAGCTCATCAATTTGAAGCTCAATGCAGAAGACACTCTGGTTTCATTCTTTGAATTTGTAAGCCATCTCTCTTGAGGCAGTTGAACCACTCAGTGAGTTCCCCTTTTATGGGAATATTGCTTCTCAGATGTAAAATGAGTATGAAACTTACTTTGAGAACACTTCTAACATGTTTCTAAGGTGCCAAGCACCAGGACTGAGTGTCCAATTTGAGGGATATTGACAGAGGGAAATGGCAAAACCAGGACCTTGGGTGAATGAATGGCTAAATTGGGGCTCTGTAATCTCCATAACTTGAGTTGTCTCCAAATTTCTAAAGGAGCATTACCTGTGGGAGATTTGATATCCTTCATCCAGTTGTAGTAGGGAGAAGTCAGAAAGAAGCTAATTTGGTTCAGTAGAAGAAATTTCTAGTGCTTAGCCCAAATCATGTTAGATAGCTGGATGCCAGTAGGCTATGAGTTGCCCATTACTGTTTCAAATAACGTCTGGGTAAAACTCAAGGTGACTTCAAACAAGACAGACTTCAATTAATATCCTAGCTTTACTTTTTAAATTCATATCCTTTGCTCCCTTTCTGTAAATACTAATTTCACACCAACAGGTGGGTAAATAACAAATCCCTAGTTTCTTTACATGTGAGAAGGGCATCTCACTTCTTGTGTGTGCATACAGAAATTAAGAGAATGAACAGAGCACAGACCCAGACATATAGCAAGACTGTTTACTACTCTTGCAGATTTTGTATTGTTTGCGCTGTAATTATAACGTAGTCATTATGACAGAAATGCAACTTATTTTAAAAATAAGTTCACTTATTTAAAAAAGGGAATTTACTAGCCTGTGTAATTGGGAAGTCCAGAGGTGGTTCTGGTTTCAGATATGACTACTGTATCCATCTCATCTCTTGCTTTTGTGCTAGCCTCATACTGTAGCCATGCTTTTCTCATTGTGAGAGGGAGAGGAAAAAGTTGCCAATTCCCTGAGTGCTCTCACTACTTAGCAAATCCAAAGCTCATCCCTGATCCCAGGGAAGACTGGTCCAGTTTGGGCTGCATATGCCCCCTGCACACTGTGTTGAATGGGATATGGAACAGGGTTGAGGACAAGGAAGTAAGGCTACAGAAATGTACACTTACAGGTGGTTATTAGAGAGGGTAAAAGGTAACGCAGAGTAAGAACTCAGCAACTGTCCCATCTCCAGGTTGAGTCCTGGGTCATAGTGGATCAATCTGTTTCTACTTGAAAAACAAAACAAAACCGAAAACACTTTTATTTGACAAAAGACAAAAACAAAACTTATTTACAGTAGTTTTCTGCTCAAATTATTTCAATGGGATAACTGTGCTTCTCCTCCAGGTTTATCTCACAACCAAACAGGCAGAGGCTGCCCCACCCCTAGCCTCTCTATCTTGCATAAAGGGGAGAGGGGAATGCCAACCAGAATTCAGCAGCATGGCTCCCACACCCTCGCCACCTCCACTGCTCAGTGCACTGTGGAAGGAAAAGTCCCACCCCAGCCCAATCCTCTTCCAAAGTCCCCTGCTGCATCTTACAACAGTCACCCCAGACCAGGCTCACAGACATGGGCGGGGTAGCAGAGGCTGGGAAAACAGCAGCGTCAACTAATCTTGAAGCTGCCACACTCATGTTCATTTTTCCCCAGCTGGGCTAAAGAGGGTGAGAATCCCTGATCCCCTTCCCACCCACCCAGGGCATGGAAGAAGAGGGCACAGGATGAGGGAGCACGCAAAAGAGCTTAGGAAACTTGCCCACTCAGAGCAAAGCTTCCTTTCTGTAAATACTAATCCCCACACTCACACAAGAGGTGGGCTAAAACCACTCAGAAATGAGAATGCCTTCCCGAAGTCTTCAGAGATCAGCCCAGAAAGGACAGAATACCTGTTTCTGCCCTTTCTCCTGGTCAGACCTAACCAAGTCAGCCAACACCAAGTAACTTTCCCCCTTGTGCCTGACCTGGAAACTTGGGGAAACTACAGGCTGGGGCTCCTGACCTGTCTTTTGGCCCAGTAACAGTATTATTCAGAACAAAATATTTTGGCTAATAATAACCTAGGATTAGTGTTTCTTAGGATATATAAAGATGGGGTATACTGCTGTTGAGCACTCTCAGCAATGAAAAAACAAAAAAGGAGGAGGAGGGAGGAGAACAAGACCAACTGTGATCTGTTTGAAGTTTAGGGCAGGGGCCTCTGCAACTCCAATTTAAAGAAAGGTGCAACACAAAAACACACGGTGAACGGGCTTCGTAATTTCCAACCCCAGCCGCCTCTGAAGACAGTTCCTCGGGCAGCTGGTGGCAGGAAACGATTCCCTGCTTCCTCCAGGAATAGTTCCTGCCACCACCGTGGGAAGGCTGCCAGTAGATGGAGCTTTTGACGTTCTGGCCACTAATCCAAGTTCCTAAAGGCTGCAGGGGAAAACTTTAAAGGATAAAGGGGAAAACATTAAAGGGAAAAAAACAACAAACAAAACACCCTACTGCCTCAGTCTAGCTTACATCTCTCCCCCACCCCCAAAAGTACAGTAAAAACAGAAATATAAAAAACACCTCTCCAGTTTTATCATCCTTCTCTGCTCTGTGCCTAGAAAGTTTGGTCAGATTCTCTGTTGGACCCTCTTGCTGGCTTTGTCTTTATCCTTCTTCGGTTCCTGACCCAGAAAAGCCAAAGCCTGTAAGTCTTTTCCACCTTTTTTGGATAAACCAAACCAACAATAAAATAACCATTAGGAGTTTTGCAGAGATTTAACTGGTCCCCCAAACAAAAATACTCCTTCCTTGTAAAACAATCACCTGTTGTAGTGGTGGATCATTCCCAGTTCATCAGACTCAGTCACACAATGCACTCTTATCCCCATACCTGGGCTCGCTGCCCCCATGAATGCAAAGGGAGAAATGAACACTAAGTTTGACAAAAACCTGAATATTCAACTGGAATCCGTTCTGTTATATCTGCTGGGTTCCTCTTTTGTTCACACTTAATGAACTAGGAGAGCCCACACTTGGTTTAACAGAGCAGCCAGCTCAGGAGCAACCTGGACCCGGCAGGTTTCCTGTGTGCAGCCCAGGGAGCAGCTGGGACAAAGGTGTCCTGTGGGCTCTCTGGAGAAGCAGCAGCACCATGCCTGTCTCCACTCGGTCTCCTCGCCTGAGGAGGCCTGGAGAAGGCAGTCACAGAGGAGAGGTCCCCATCACAGTGCAGTGACACCAGTGAGTGTCTTCCTGCTGAAGATCCTGGACAGAGGAGATGATCCTGATGTTTGGCAGTGAACCAACGAAAACTCTGTATAAAAGGGAACCAAAACAAACCCAGGACAGCTGGCTCGAGCCTCGAGCACCCTGTGGGCAGATGCCTACTTGGGGTTTTCAGAGACAAAGGGGATGGGAGTGTGCAGTAACGGCAGCGACAGGTCCTGCTGCTTCTGAAGCTCCATCTCAGCAGCCCTCTGTAGTGCCACCTCCACCAGGAGCCGGAAGCTGCTGAAGTCCTCCTTTTCCTGCTCGGGGGGTGTGGGTGGTGGTGTGTTGAAGAGTCCACCGGTGGGGCTTCCGGCTTCAACCCTGGTCACCAGTGAGAGAGTGTTGCCAGAGGTCACCAGGGATTTGGGGGGTTCCAGCTCCCCTTGTGGGAAGGGAGCCGCTGGCTTTTCCCCCTGGCCTGGGTGGCGTGGCATGGAGCACACAGACAAGGAGAGCACATTGGCGGGGGCTGGTACAGACACAGCCAGCAGCGAGGGGCTGCTACCACGGGGGAGGGCCACATCTGAAGCCTTGCCGCCTCGGCGGGAAATGGTGTATTGGTTGGGATCTTGGCCATCCTTCCGAAGCATGTCTGGGAGAAGCCGCCGCCGAGCGTTGATGAACCAGTTACATATCTGAAATGAGTATAAGAGACTACGATCAGCTCACTCAATTAAAACCAGCTATGAAGCACCTATGTCAGGCCCCATAATAGCAAATGACATATACACAACCAATCCTCAGAAAGGTTCATGTTGGGAAGAAATCATACAAATGAATATAAAATTGCAACAATGATCCAATGAGGGGAAGGTACAATGTTGTGCTGCTGGAGACCCAATCTAGTCTTTGTGGACTCAGGGTGGTACTCTCCGAGGACATGCTCCTAAATTGAGATCTGAAGAAAGAGTAGTTTAGGTGGGAAGGGAGAGGAATGTTCAATTTAGGGGGATCAACATCTGAAAAGACCCTGTAACAAGTGGAAGCAGAGTGCCTCTGAGGAGCTCCGACAAGGAAGAGCTTAGCTCCAATGGCTGGAGCTGAGAGTGGTAACTAGAGCTTCCTCTATGGGGGGTATTTGGTTCTTTATTCTAAGAGTGATGGGGAGTGTAGGAGGGTTTTAAGCAAAACAGCAACTAGCTATAGAAGGTGTGATGAGATGACAAATGTTTGTTCTATTTGAGAAACTGGAAATGAGAGGACCTGGTGCCAAGGTGATTCACTCCTAAATTTCTATAAAGACACCAAAGAATGTCAGATAGAAGAAAATGACTGTTTCCAGGCAAAACTAGGATCAGTGGCTCCAGTTAAATGTGTAATCTGCCGAAACCGGTTTGGCTCAGCGGTAGAGCGTCGGTCTGCGGACTGAAGGGTCCCGGGTTCGATTCCGGTCAAGGGCATGTACATTGGCTGCTGGCACATCCCCAGTATGTGCAGGAGGCGGCTGGTCAATGTTTCTCTCTCATCGACGTTTCTGGCTCTATCTCTCTCCCTTCCTCGCTGTAAAAAATCAATAAAATATATATTAAAAAAAAAAAAAAGTGCATTCAACCAGTATCCTGAAGTCTTTTTTATACATGCTGCTCAGAAAGCTCCCATTTAACCTTAACCCCATTCCCATCTAATTCACTGTTTAGATCAATCTCTTTGGACCTATGTATGAGGCATCAAATTTCTCACTGTTAAGAGTTATGCTGCAAAGCCAAGACATATCTAGTGCCCTGACTTCATCTTTTTTTTTTTTTTTTTTTTAATATATTTTATTGATTTTTTTTGCCGAGAGGAAGGGAGAGGGATAGAGAGTTAGAAACATCGATAAGAGAGAAGAAACATCAATCACACTCCCTACTTGGTATGTGCCTGCAACAAGATACATGCCCTTGACAGGAATCGAACCTGGGACCCTTGAGTCCGCAGGCCGATGCTCTATCCATTGAGCCAAATCGGTCAGGGCTGACTTCATCTTTTTAACAGCTTCATAGCTCTCCCACCTATTCTCTTCACTAGTTGTCACTTCTCTTTCTAAAATGCAATGACTGTTGCCCTAGTCAGTTTGGTTCAGTAGATAGAGCATCAGTCTACAGACCAAAGGGTGTCAGATTGACTCCAGTCAAGGGCACATACCTTGATTGCAGGCTCCTCCCCAGCCTGGGCCCTGGTCAGGGTGCGTGCAGGAGGCAACCAATCATGTGTTTCTCTCACATCGATGTTTCTGTCTTTCCCTCTCTCTTTCACTCTTTGAAAAAAATCAGTGGAAAAAAATATCCTCTGATGAGGATTAAAAGATAATATAAATAAATAAATAAAACGCAATGACTGTTATCCCTATTCTAGAAACTGCCATTTGCTTCCGTCTGCTTACAGGGTCAAGTCTAGATACCCGATCCTGGTGTTAAATCCTCCCCTGCCATGGGCTTTATTTCCAACCCTTGTATTCTTTCTTTAGCATGTGAAATTGCTCACCAGACCTTCATCAGGCCCTGTGCTTCCCCCCCCCCCCCCTTTCTTAAATAGCTCCATGATGCCTTTTGCACATCACCTTTCTTTTTTCTGAAGTGTCTGCTTTTCCACCTGAGAATGGCTACTCCTCTAAGCCTTAGCTGATCTAAGATATCAGCGATAGGGCCAGAGGAGAGGAAATGGATTCAAAACACCTCGCTGGGCCAGGCACCGAAGGGTTGTGGGTTCAATCCCTGGCCATGTCCAGCATGTGCAGGAGACAACCAATGCAGAAAGCAACAAAGATCGATGTGTTTCTCTCTCTGTCTCTTCCTCCCTCTCTTCCACTCTCTCTAAAAAAAAACCATGGGGGAAAAATATCCTCAGGTGCCGAAACCGGTTTGGCTCAGTGGATAGGGCGTCGGCCTGCAGACTGAAAGATCCCCGGTCAAAGGCATGTACCTTGGTTGCGGGCACATCCCCAATAGGGAGTGTGCAAGAGGCAGCTGGTCGATGATTCTCTCTCATTGATGTTTCTAACTCTCTATCCCTCTCTCTTCCTCTCTGTGAAAAATCAATAAAATATATATTTTTTCTAAAATTAAAAAAAAAATATCCTCAGGTGAGGATTAAAAAAAAAAAAAAAAAAAAAAAAAAAAGGCATAGCTTGGTGGTTGAGCGTCGATGTTCCAGGAAGTCACAGTTCAATTCTCAGTGAGAAACATGTCCAGGCTTGATCCCTAGTGGGGGGCGTGCAGGAGGCAGCTGGTCAATGATTTTCTCTCATCATTGATGTTTCCATCTCTCTCCCTTTCCCTTCTTCTCCAAAATAAAAAATATACTTAAAAAAATGAAATAAAACAGGAGAACCATTTTTTTTTCCTGTCAAGGGCCATCTGGAGATTTATAACTTCATTTGAGAGCCATACAAAATTATCAACTTAATAATTAGTCTGCTATCTTTAGTCAAACATTTAATTCACCCCTAATACCTTGGTGGGGCCAGACCAAATGATTTCACAGACTTTGCACATTTTCCAGTTGAACATTCTCCATCCCTGATCTAAAAGATCAACCACTCATATTCTCTTTTCTCTCCCTTACTCCTAATGGCCTGGAAATGTGGCAAGACAGATCCTACAACAACTCATTTGAGCATTATCTTTAAAGTTATGGATTAGGCTAGAAAATAGTTTCTTAGTTGCAGGATTTAGTTGAAACCGGTTTGGCTCAGTGGATAGAGCGTCGGCCTGCAGATTGAAGGGTCCTGGGTTAGATTCTGATCAAGGGCATATACCTCGGTTGTGGGCACATCCCCAGTAGGAGGTGTGCAGGAGGCAGCTGATCAATGTTTCTAGCTCTCTACCCTTCTCCCTTCCTCTCGTAAAAAATCAATAAAATATATTTAAAAAAACAAGAAAATAAAACAAACAAAAAAATTAACTCTTTCCTTAAGTAGGCAAATACAAACCCCTACCATTTCCCCCAAGTTGTCCTTCCTCTTGCCTTCCACTGGAGGGGTCACCAAAGGGGAAAAACAACCTAATAACTTCCTTGCTATCTCAGAGGTAGCAAGAGAGAAGAAACATTAAGAGACTATGGATACTGGGTGTGGGGCATGGTGGGCGTGGCCTGGTAGGAAAGTATCTACGTATATCTGGGCTTCTTCCTGAGAATTTTGGCTTTGAAGAGTTTTCCAATAGCTTCCAATTACTGAGCACTACACATCTACAAATTTTCTTCTCATAATTACATCACGTCTATGACTTTGATCAATTCCTACTTTATTGATGAACATTTGTAAAGCTCAGCCTGGATAAGTCAGGCAGGAGTGTCCACCTCTAGCCATGGATCCCCAAGCCTGGGCCTCTGCACCTGGAGGAGGAGGAGCCCCTCCTCTCTGGACCTCCCTCAGGCTGTCACAGGGCCGCAGAGGCCATCTTACTTTATTCATTAAATCAGTCAGGTGAGAACTTTTCACTTCCCTATTGCTCTCCCTTTCAAGGTTGCATGCTTACTCAGATAATACTTGTTTGTGTTCATATCATGTGCCAGGCCTAGTTCTTAGTACTGGTGATGCCCCCCTTTGGGAATTAAACAGACGTGCACTCTGCCCTGTGTTGTAGTCCACCTGGTTGTGGAGACTGGCAATGAACAAATATGACAAGAGACACCAATAAGTGTCAGGGAAGAAACAGACAGGAATAAAAGCATAGAATATAAAGATAAGAGAGATTACCAGAGACAAAGGTCTGGGAAGGCTAAGACCTAAAGGATAAGAAAGCCAGCCTTGCCCTAGTTGGTTTGGCTCAGTGGATAAAGCGTTGGCCTGCAGGCCGAAGGGTCCTAGGTTCGATTCTGGTCAAGGGCATATGCCTGGGTTGCGGGCTCAGTCCAATGTGAAGGAGGCAGTCAATCAGTGATACCCTCTCATTAATGTTTCTAGCTCTCTCTTCCTCTCTGAAATAAAAATATATTAAAAAGAAGGAAAAAAAAAGGCCAGCCTTTTAGAAAGCTTAGGGAAATGTTCTAGACAGAGGGAACAGCAAATGTCAAGGTGCTGAGGCAGGAAAGGGTTTGGTTTAAGAAACTAACAAAAGCAGGCAGGGCTGATCCCACTAGGTCAGAACACCATGGTAAAATACTAAGGTCCCAGTGATTCCCAGTCAGAGCACATGCCCAGTTTGTGGACTTGATCTCCAGTAGGGAGCATGCAGGAGGCGGCTGATCAATACGTGGATGTTTCTATCTGTCTCCTTCTCCCTTCCTCTGTGAAGAAAAAAAAAAAAAAGACTAAAGGCTTAAACAGTGGCTTGACCTGAATTCCACTCTAGGTCCTTCTCTTGGTCCTGTCTCCTCTCACTGTTTATCCACAGATAAGCACAGAGCATGCACCAGGAGAAAGAAAAGATGTGAACTCCTCCCCTTCACCTCCTGTGCACTGGGATACTGGGAACTGTGTGGGCTGCAGTAATGCATGATGTTGCTCCAAACATTCCTCTAATGTTCATGGAATCAATCAAAGGCCCAGTTCTCCTCAGGGCTGCTGTATCAATTCTATCCCTGACCATTGCCTTTCTTGGTCAATACCTTGGCAAGCCCTTGGTTACCATCTTCCTATAAACTCTGTCTCTACACAGCTGAAGGGCTAGCCACCTATAACAAGAGCTGGTGCCTGGAGTTGGCATGGGTCTTT